ATCCACCAATCAGGAGACACTTGTTGGTCTTGACTGCTACAGCACCTTCATTGCCTTTGCGGCAATAGATGGCATGTCCAGGTTCTGACCTAACAAATACATACTTTGTTCTATTAATAGCAATTCCTTTTGAATAGAAAGGTGAGGGATCTTTGGTGATTCCATTGATTAATGCTTGGGCCTCGCTTGGAAGGACCTGAAAGAAATTATAAAATATTAAACTTTCTGGCATAATTTGCACTCCTGTGAACTCAATGTATTGTCAGTTAACCATTGGCAGCCCTTCTTATCTCCTTGTTCTCTTGTTTGATTATATTCTAACTATTGATACCCATGCTAACTGGCTAGAGAGGCACCAAAAGCACTCTAGAAGAGGCCATTTCCAGGTATCCTCAAGGCCCCTTATAATGGCCTGAGAAAACAGCTGTTTTTTCACGATGCTACTGACAGATTCCCCATGAAAAGATGAGGTACAAGTCTGGGTAGAAGCTTCAACCAATTAGAAAAACTACCCAGATCTGGGTAAGTGACACGCCGTCACTATAGAATTTCAGCATCAGTTCCTCAGACACCATTTTACGGGGAAACCATTGGTGGAATTGCAAAATATCGGATCTTTTCTCAGGCCTGCTTTATCAAAATGAGAGTAAGTAAGAAATTTTTGATAAGAAAATAGCTCCTCATTCTCATTCAAATGCTGACTCATTAATTTTCACATGAAAAGTTCTTAAGTTGCACTTGGCCTTATAATGAAATGAGTATTTTTAAAACTTGAAAATGGCTTGTTAAAGCCAATGAGTTTCCTTTGGTAATAGTTCCGACAATTGAGTCTAGGAGCCACTGGTGAACTTTATTTTTTAAGCCAGACTGAAGCCTGTAGGGCTGAGAAAAAAATTGTTCTTGAGCCTGGTTCCCACTCTTTTCTCAGCCTGGATGTGCAGGCTTCTCTCTTACTTGATGATCTGAATCTGCCACTGTGAGGTCTGGTTAACAGAAGTACATGTATGATGGGTAAGGTATGGTAAACTGAGTTACTTTAAAAAGCAGCGGCTTAAGGTCAGTTTATAGGAGTGTGTAGCCTGCGCCAAAAACGAAACTAAACTCTGGTTATGGCCATCTACAAACTTGCACCAAAATCCTTGTTCTAGGCCCTCACCTGTGTACCAGGATTTGAGTATTCACCATGATTGGCCTGTTGAAAAAGTTATTGTTGATTTGCCAATCAGTTTGAAAGGAAATTTGAAATGCACTGCCAGTAATTTGTTGAATCTGTAAGGGGCCGAGAACAAGGATCTTTGTGCTGCTACGCAGACATTACTAACTGGAGTTAGTTTACATCTGCAATATAGACTACAGAGTGCTATAGAAGCTAATGCGTTGAACCTCTAGACCAAGGTCTCAAGACTTCGTCATGCAATAATGTTGTTAGTCTTCAGAGAGAAAGTTTGCTTCCCACTGTGCACGTGTATATTTTAAAATGTTACAGTGAAAACATCCCCACTGAGTGTGCCTCATTGACTTGATAATAATGTACCATTATTAGAAAAGCAAGGAAGGGCCAGGCAATTATATAGAGATTCATGAATCACTATAAGTATTTGTCAGTCAAGAAGCATGCTGGCTGAAAGGCCGAATTATTTTATTTTTGCAGAGGAGTACAGCAAAGTAGATGTTAGCTTCTCTGATTTAAACATTCCGTTCATTTCATCAGAGTAACTGAATACGCCCTTGTTGCTCATATTTCACAAACTGTCAGACACATCATTTCAAGACCATCAAATATTTGAGAATATAAGCTCAGATGCAGATATCCACAAGCACAGTACAGTCATCTGCTCAAAAAAATAGAGGTAGACAAAATATAGACATCAAATTATAGATGCCTTACATTTTCTATACATTTTGTCATCGTCTAAATTCAACAAGACACATATTTGTAGTTATGTATTTCGCATGTCCATCTGTTTACTAGAGAAAATTAAAATCAATTTAAGGTGTCAGTCAGTTTGGTTGGGTGTCCATTATAAGAGCTGGCCGATTAACTTGAATTCAAAAGAGGTGGATCAGCGATAGCATGCAGCACACACAGCCCGGGTTACATGAGCATGCATCTGCAGCGTAGAGCACTTAAACACACCGATCCCGATTCGTTAAATCAATATACCTTGTCACGGTTTTCGACGCCATCTTGACGAGTAGGCAAACGCATGAGAAATTACAGTGATTGTATGAGGATCTAATGTCGAATAATTTCCATAGAACGGCTTTTCTGAAAAAAATATGATTTGTAAACTAAAGCTTCACTCCTAAGGATTCTCCTGAAAAAGTTTGAGGGCGTTACATGCACCAGAAGACCTAGAACCACTTTTTAAAATTTTCTATACATTTGTCTGTAAGAAAGTCCCGGGAAAATTGGAGACAAATATATGGAAAAGCTAAAGCAAGCCTCTGGAGAAATTTAAGCACAGGTATGCCCCCCAATTTTTTTAGGGCAATCCTTTGCTTTGTAGCTTTAGTTTACAATTGATATTTTGTTCAGAACAGCTATTCTACGGAAATTATTCGACATCAGATTCTCATACAAACACTGTAATTTCTCACACGTTTGCCTACTCGTCAACATGGCGTCGAAAACCGTGACAAGGTCTATTATTCCGTATTGCTGCTTGCGTGAGCATGAGATTATATTTTAGTGGTACTGCGAACTTGTTAGTCAAGATTACAAACAAAGAAAAAATTGTCATCAATGTCTGTTCCATTATATTGCGAATGAAACTAGACCGAATTTGATTTTTCTTTTGCCCCACAGAATTCAGATTTTGTCCTTTTTTTCACACGGATTCTTACTTTTATTCAGATTGTTCCATTTATATCATCGTTACAAAGGACTCTATAAACAAAGTTCAGCACACGACACACAAAGCGCTACATCAACACCTTACTACAGAGCGCGAGCGAGAAACGACAAATTAATTGAATATAATCGATTGTGATGTTTTATTTATAGTCTTCTAAAAAGGGAAATCATCATATTCCGCAAATAAAAGTAATGGGAACCTCACTCCCATATAATTTAGGAACACAAGAATGTTTACGAAACCTAGAATAAACAGCTAAGAATATACTAACCACAAATCCCGCACTTGAGGCATATCTTTTGCCGTCCAAACCATGAATCGAGGCTCTTGCCACCTGGCTTGTACCTAATAAACTCTCGTCGATAAAATTTTGCCAGCTCATCCGATAAAACAACAATAAAGACAGTTAGTTGGTTTACCACTTTGAACAAACGCCTATTTGTCCTATTATTCATGAAATATATTTGGCATATTCCTTTTATATGCAAATCCTTTGCTCCCAAGTCACAAACCGACAACTTGGTCACGCAAAGTCACGCAACAGTTTAGTTCCAGTTCTCTCGCTCTGTCAAATCAGTTGGCGGGAAAGTCATGTTCGCCATGTTGTGCGAAGATTGAAACAAAATCTTCTCCGTCATTTGTCCGCTTATTTTCTCAAAGGCCTAAAATCTAAAATTGAAATGGATGCCTTTCTACGTGGGCAAACTTCCTCTAGCAGTTCATCGAAGCTAAAGCAGGCAGCAAGCGAAGAGAGCGCCGGTCCTTCGAGCAAGCGGGTCGTTGTTCCATGGGTTGAAAAATAGTGAGTATAAATGTTTACTCGTTTTTCTTTGAAAATGTAAAGAGATAAACTGTCAATGGAAAGGCTAGCTAAACTGCAGAATAACCGATCTCGCTGAATAAGAAAAGCTTTTTTTTGTTATATGTTCTGGAAATTTTTAAAGTTACAAAATTATGCTGTTGAGTTCTTCTTTATTGCAGAAACATTGCTGCAAACACTTTTTCCTTGGTTTGTACAGAAATTACCGGATCTTGTGCAAAATTTATCCACTTCACAACCAGCAACAACCGACCCACTCCCTCTCCCTAAGGGCAAAAACAGGTCCCCATTTCCCAAGACAACTTTGGTGTTCTTTCTTGATTGATATTAGCTTGATGAGGAACCTGACATCCTAGTGTTTTGTTATCTTTCTAGACTTTCACTTTAACAACAACAAAAGAATAACCACAGCAAATCAAAACAGTCAACTCCATTCTGATAAGAACACAAATTTAATTCTGAAAATCACTGAATGAATGATTTACAAAGTACTTTCCTAGAATTATGTGCTTCTTTTTCCTCCATTAGCTGCTGTTTCTCTTCAGGGATAACATTAAAAATCGGTGCTACAAAAACGTGACTTAAAAAGTCAATTCGCCTGCGTCAAACTTTATCGCGCTTATCTAAATCAATTCATCAAAGAATGGTATTTTTTTCTGGAGTTGAAGTCTAAAAGACTGTATTGAAGTTCGGGAAAAGAAAAAAAGTCATTGTGGTGTGTTTTAATACATTCTCCACAAAATGTGAAATTAGGTATTTTCACATCATAGTCATGCAGAGACGGCACCGAAATGTACAGAAAAGCATGTTGTGTCCGCAGAGTTTTTGTTTTGCCAATCTAAGCCTATTCCTTTTTTGCTGTTCTTGTTGACATCGCCGTTGTCGTTGAAAGAGGGAGTAGGGAAGGGGATGCCTAACTTGGTAACATTGAAGTGGAGATCTGGGATGACTCTCCTTATGATGATTATTATTACTACTATAATTAATGTACACAAATGTAAGCTAATGCCCTCTTGTTCAAGTAGTTAAAACATTTTTACATTTATTTGCAGTCGTCCTAGATCTGTTGATGATGTTGCCTACCAAGATGAAGTTGTGTCTGTGTTAAAAAAGTCACTTGAGGGAGCGGATCTTCCTAACTTGCTGTTCTATGGTCCTCCTGGTACTGGAAAAACATCCACTATACTTGCTATAGCGAGACAACTGTTTGGGTATGCAATTGTATTGTATTGTATTGTATTAATTCAGTTCCCACACGATTACGATAATTACAAAGAAATGCCCAAAAAAAATGTAGGAAGAAATGGCAAGAAAGAAGAAAATGGCAATGATTTTGGTTCTGCCTGTCTTGTAACAGTGTACTGCAGCCAGTTGCAGAAATGTTGAGATACGTACTTTGACGAAAAACTGGCCTTTCTTACTTCAAATCGCTGCTAGTCACACATCTGTGCGATATATTACTCACCTCCCCCCTCCCCTCCATTCAAAGTTGTTCCACTAAGTTTTGAGCATGGTCTTGTATTGCTGGCAACTTTGATAAGGGGAGGAGGGGGGATCACAAGCACAAGGTAAAGTGTCTCAAGTATTTTTGCAACCTAAGGCTTAAATCTTTTTACATCTTTATAAGGTGCGTCTTTTACTACGATGATCTTTGGATTTATTTCTTGACTCCGCAGATCCAGTATAGAAAAATTCAGATATTCATCAGTTTCATTTTCATTGGTTACCATTGTATCTAGTGTCCCTCCTAGCCATTTTAGTCTAGCCATGCAAAACTCCTCTTAAAACACAAGTGCAGTTTCCAAACAAGCACAAGGAGATCTGAATAAGTGAATTTGGGATGTCTGTCTGAGTTCCTTATGCCAGCATGTAGTTAGTGAAACTTTCATTCCGTGAAACACAACTGTTTCATGTTCAGTCATGTGATCATACTCAATAAAATTTTAAAAAATTTGCAGAGTATCAAACTTCAGATAAGTTTATATGAGGGGAGGGGAGTGACATTTCCTGTTATCTCATTTTTCATTGGCTAGAAATCTTTGAGGGGCCTACACACCCCACCTGCATCAAGCCATGGTTATGGGACAACATCCAAAGTCTTCTACTCCTGCAAACCACTGTGTCCTACATTAGTTAATTTTGTTTTAACCACTTTGTCTGTTTTCACTTCTTAGATCTGACATGATGAAAGCACGAGTTCTTGAACTAAATGCTTCTGATGAGCGTGGAATACAGGTTTGTTAAAGTTTGGTAATAAAGTTGTTCATTAATTCAGGGGTTTTAATGAACTGTGAAGTAGGCAGCTGGTTTTGAGTCAAGTAACCAACTGTGTCAACAAGCTTTGAAGAAATCTTTCTGTAATCTCTTTGAATTAGGGAGAAAAGTAGCCAAGTTCCCTGAAAAAAGTAGCTGGCAATGTTTATTTTTTATGGGTATCAGTGCTTATTGAATGCTGTCATTTTAAAATATCCTGAAGTACTCTAAACTGGTTAAGCAGGGGATAACTTGTTTTATGGATCACATCCCTATTTGTACTCATCTCATTTATGGGATACATTACTAGACGTAACTCCCAAAATTCCTACATGTACCTATGATCCTAGAGTCGCTATATTTTCAATAATAGCCAGGCCATCTGTTGCTATTAAACTGCTTTGTGGGTGAATTAAATTTTGCCAATTACATTTTTGTAATTGTGCATGTCCAGGTTCTGACCTAACAAATACATACTTTGTTCTATTAATAGCAATTCCTTTTGAATAGAAAGGTGAGGGATCTTTGGTGATTCCATTGATTAATGCTTGGGCCTCGCTTGGAAGGACCTGAAAAAAAATGATAAAATATTACACTTTCTGGCATAATTTGCACTCCTGTGAACTCAATGTGTTGTCAGTTAACCATTGGCAGCCCTTCTTATCTCCTTGCTCTCTTGTTTGATTATATTCTAACTATTGATACCCATGCTAACTGGCTAGAGAGGCACCAAAAGTACTCTAGAACAGGCCATTTCCAGGTATCCTCAAGTTCCCTTAGAATGGCCTGAGAAAACAGCTGTTTTTTCACAATGCTACCAACAGATTCCCCATGAAAAGATGAGGTACAAGTACTGAAATGTCACTACCCAGATCTGGGCCGAAGCTTAAACCAATCAGGAAAACTACCCAGATCTGGGTAAGTGACATGCCATCAGTATGGAATTTCAGCATTAGTTCCTCAGATGCCATTTTGCAGGGAAACCACTGGTGGAATTGCAAAATGTTGGCTGTTTTCTCAGGCCTGCTTCATCAAAATGAGAGGAAGTAAGAAATGTTTGATAAGAAAATAGCTCCTCATTCTCATTCAAATGGTCACTCATTTTCATATGAAAGGTTCTGAAGTTGCACTTGGCCTTATAATGAAATGAGTATTTTTAAAACTTGAAAATGGCTTGTTAAAGACAATGAGTTTCCTTTGGTAATAGGTCCGACAATTAAGTCTAGGAGCCACTGGTGAACTTTATTTTGAAGCCACACTGAAGCCTGTAGTGCTGAGAAAAATTATCCTTGAGCCTGCCCCCCCCCCCTCTTTTCTTGGTCTGGATGTGCAGGCTCCTCTCTTACTTGATGATCTGAATCTGCCACTGTGAGGTCTGGTTAACAGAGTACATGTATGATGGGTAATGTATGGTAAACTGTGTTAGTTTAAAAAGCAGCTGCTTAAGGTCAGTTTATAGGAGTGTGTAGCCTGCGCCACAAACGAAACTAAACTCTGGTTATGGCCATCTACAAACGTGCACCAAAATCCTTGTTCTGGGCCATCACCCGTGTACCGGGATTTGAGTCGATTTGCCAATCAGGTTGAAAGGAAATTTGAAATGCGCTGCTGGTAATTTGTTGAATCTGTAAGGGGCCCAGAACGAGGATCTTTGTGCTGCTACGCAGACATTACTAACTGGGATTAGTTTACGTCTGCAATGTAGGCTAATGATTGTGAAGGAAGGAGGCTAATGTGCTAAACCTCTAGACGAAGTGTCAAGACTTGGTCATGCAATAATGTTGTTAATCTTCAGAGAAAAAGTTTGCTTCCCACTGTGCAGGTGTATATTTTAAAATGTTACAGTGAAAACATCCCCACTGAGTGTGTGCCTCACTGACTTGATATGCACCATTATTAGAAAAGAAAGGAAGGGCCAGGCACTTATAGAGATTCATGAAGCACTATAAGCATTTGTCAGTCAAGAAGAATGCTGGCTGAAAGGCCAAATTATTTTATTTTTGCAGAGGAGTACAGCAAAATAGATGTTAGCTTCTCTGATTAAAACATTCCTCGTTTGTTTCATCAGAGTAACTGAATAGGCCCTTGTTGCTCACATTTCACAAACAGTCACACGCATCATTCCAAGACCATCAAATATTTGAGGATATAAGCTCAGACGCTAATATCCACAAACAAAGTCCATCTGCTCAAAAAATAAATGTAGACAAAATATAAGACATCAAATTATTGATGTCTTACATTTTCTATACATTTTGTCTACGTCTAAATTCAACAAGACACATATTTGTAGTTATATATTTCGCATGTCCATCTTTTTACTAGAGAAAATTAAAATCAATTTAAGGTGTCACTCAGTTTGGTTGGGTGTCCATTATGAGAGCTGGCTGAACAACTTGAATTCAAAAGAGTCAAAAGAGGTGGATCAGCGATAGCATGCAGCACACAAAGCCCGGGTTACATGAGCATGCATCTGCAGCGTAGAACACTAAAACACACCGATCCCGATTCGTTAAATCAATTATTCCGTTTTGCTGCTTGCGTGAGATTATATTTTAGTGGTACTGTGAACTTGTTAGTCAAGACTACAAGGAAAGAAAAAATTGTCAACAATGCCTGTTCCATTACATTCCGAATGAAACTAGACCGAATTTGATTTTTCTTTTGCCTCACAGAATTCAGATTTTGTCCTTTTTTTTCACACGGATTCTTACTTTTATTCAGATTGTTCTATTTATATCATCGTTACAAAGGACTCTATAAACAAAGTTTAGCACACGACACACAAAGCGTTACATCAACACCTTACTACACAGACTACACAGCGCGAGCGATAAACGACAAATTAATTGAGTATAATCGATTGTGATGTCTTATTTATAGTCTTTTAAAAAGGGAAATCATCATATTTCCGCAAATAAAAGTAATGGGAACCTCACTCCCATATAATTTAGGAACACAAGAATGTTTACGAAACATAGAATAAACAGCTAAGAATATACTAACCACAAATCCCGCACTTGAGGCATATCTTTTGCCGTCCAAACCATGAATCGAAGCTCTTGCCACCTGGCTTGTACCTAATAAACTCTCGTCGATGAAATTTTGCCAGCTCATCCGATAAAACAACAATAAAGACAGTTAGTTGGTTTACCACTTTGAACAAACGCCTATTTGTCCTATTATTCATGAAATATATTTGGCATATTCCTTTCATATGCAAATCCTTTGCTCTTAAGTCACAAACCGACAAGTTGGTCACGCAAAGTCACGCAACAGTTTAGTTCCAGTTCTCTCGCTCTGTCAAATCAGTTGGCGGGAAAGTCGTGTTCGCCATGTTGTGCGAAGATTGAAACACAATCTTCTCCATTATTTGTCCGCTTATTTTCTCAAAGGCCTAAAATCTAAAATTGAAATGGATGCCTTTCTACGTGGGCAAACTTCTTCTAGCAGTTCATCGAAGCTAAAGCAGGCAGCAAGCGAAGAGAGCGCCGGTCCTTCGAGCAAGCGGGTCGTTGTTCCATGGGTTGAAAAATAGTGAGTATAAATGTTTACTCGTTTTTCTTTGAAAATGTAAAAAGATAAACTGTCAATGGAAAGGCCAGCTAAACTGCAGAATAACCGATCTCGCTGAATAAGAAAAGCTCTTTTGCGTTATATGTTCTGGAAATTTTTAAAGTTACAAAATTATGCTGTTGAGTTCTTCTTTATTGCAGAAACATTGCTGCAAACATTTTTTCCTTGGTTTGTACAGAAATTACCGAATCTTGTGCAAAATTCATCCACTTCACAACCAGCAACAACCGACCCACTCCCTCTCCCTAAGGGCAAAAACAGGTCCCCATTTCCCAAGACAATGGTGTTCTTTCTTGATTGATATTAGCTTGATAATATTGGTTACTGACATTAAACACTTAATGTCAGATCCCTAAGGAAACAGTTAGTTTTGTTTCCCGAGAGTCCTGATGTTTCCTTCGTCTCGGGAAACATCAGGACTCTCGGGAAACAAAACTAACTGGTTTCCTGAGGAACCTGACATCAAGTGCTTTGTTATCTTTCTAGACTTTCACTTCAACAGCAACAAAAGAACAACCAGAGCAAATCAAAACAGTCGACTCCATTCTGATAAGAACACAAATTTAATTCTCAAAATCACTGAATGAATGATTTACAAAGTACTTTGCTAATATTAGCTGTTTCTCTTCAGGGATAACGTTGAAAATCGTTGCTTTTTAGCTTGAGGCTTCATGTTTGTGTTGTCGTGTTCATTCACGAAAAAGAAAACTTGCAGTGTTTTTCCTGCCTTCTGTCACACCACTTTCCACCATGCTTTGATCACATGCCTTAATGTATCCTGAGTGGGGTTATTGCTCAAATGTATCATGATCGGAATACATTTGATTTTAGTCAATGCAAGGCCATGTGACCAAGAATCAGCCTATGGCAGTCCCTGTTTAGTTGAGTGAAAGTCTAGGAATATAACAATGCATGTTAAAAATATAACTTGTCTTGATTTGCGTTATCAAATAAGGTCTTTAGTTTGAGTTAAGTTTCACTTCAGAGAGCAATATGTATCATAAAAGATTAGGGAGCTTAAGCAATGACGACGGCGATGGCTATGAAAACGTCACTTAAAAAGTCAATTCGCCTGCTTCAAACTTTATAGCGGTTATTCCATCTCATACAATTCATCAAAAAATGGCATTTTTTCTGGAGTTGAAGTCTAACAGACTGTATTGAAGTTCAGGAAAAGAAAAAAAAAGTCATTATGGTGTGTTCACATCCTCCTCAAAACGTGAATTAGGTATTTTCATGTCGTAGTCATGCAGAGACGGCAAAGAAATTTACAGAAAAGCATGTTGTGTCTGCAGAGTTTTTGTTTTGCCAATCTAAGCCTATTGCTTTTTTGCTGTTCTTGTTGACATCGCCGTTGTTGTTGAAAGAGGGAGTAGGGAAGGGGATGTATAACTTGGTAACATTGAAGTGGAGATCTGGGATGACTTTCCTATTATTTCCTATTATTATTATTACTGTTATAATAATTATTAATGTCCACAAATGTAAGCTAATGCCCTCTTGTTCAAGTAGTTAAAACATTTTTACATTTATTTTCAGTCGTCCTAGATCTGTTGATGATGTTGCCTACCAAGATGAAGTTGTCTCTGTGTTAAAAAAGTCACTTGAGGGAGCGGATCTTCCTAACTTGCTGTTCTATGGTCCTCCTGGTACTGGAAAAACATCCACTATACTTGCTATAGCAAGACAACTGTTTGGGTATGTCGTGATCTTGGTTCTGCCTGTCTTGTAACAGTGTACTGCAACCAGTTGCAGAAATGTTTGGATACGTACTTTGACGAAAAACCGGCCTTTCTTACTTCAAATCGCTGCTAGTCACACATCTGTGAGGTATATTACTCACCTCCCCCCTCCCCTCCATTCAAAGTTGTTCCTCCAAGTTTTTTGGGCATGGTCTTGTATTGCTGGCAGCTTTGATAAGGGGACGAGGGGAGATCATAAACAGAAGGTAAAGTGTCTCAAGTATTTTTGCAACCTGTTGTAGCTTAATTAGATAGATGTCAGGGTTCGAATCCTGGCAAGCCTAAATTTTTTAAGGCTTAAATCTTTTCACAACTTCATAAGGTGCGTCTTTTACTACAATGATCTTTGCATTTATTTCTTGATTCCGCAGATCTAATATAGAAAATTCAGATATTCATCAGTTTCATATTCATTGCTTACCGTTGTACATGTATCTATATATAGTCTCCTTCTGAGCCATTGTAGTCTAGCCGTGCAAAACTCCTCTTAAAACGCAAGTGCAGTTTCCAAACAAGAGCAAGGAGATCTGAATAAGTGAATTTGGGACATCTGTCTGAGTTCCTTGTGCCAGCATGTAGTTAGTGAAACTTTCATTCAGTGAAACACAACTGTTTTCATGTTCAGTCATGTGATCATACTCAATAAAATTTTAAAAAATTTGCAGAGTAAGAAACTTCAGATAAGTTTATATGAGGGGAGGGTAGTGATATTTCCTGTTATCTCATTTTTCATTGGCCAGAAATCTTTAGGGGACCTACACACCGCACCTGCATTAAGCCATGGTTATGGGACAACATCCAAAGTCGTCTTCTCCTGCAAACCACTGTGTTCTACATTAGTTAATTTTGTTTTAACCACTTTGTCTGTTTTCACTTCTTAGATCTGACATGATGAAAGCGCGAGTTCTTGAACTAAATGCTTCTGATGAGCGTGGAATACAGGTTTGTTAAAGTTTGGTAATAAAGTTGTTCATTAATTCAGGGGTTTTAATGAACTGTGAAGTAGGCAGTTGGTTTTGAGTCAAGTAACCAACTGTATCAACAAGCTTTGAAGAAATCTTTCTGTAATCTCTTTGAATTAGGGAGAAAAGTAGCCAAGTTCCCTGAAAAAAGTAGCTTTTTGATGGGTATCAGTGCTTATTGAATGCTGTCATTTTAAAATACCCTGAAGTAATCTAAACTGGTTAAGCAGGGGATAACTTGTTTTATGGATCACATCCCTATTTGTACTCATCTCATTTATGGGATACATTACTAGACTTAACCCCCAAAATTCCTACATGTACCTATGATCCTAGAGTTGCTATATTTTCAATAATAGCCAGGCCGTCTGTTGCTATGAAAGTGCTTTGTGGGTGAATTAAATTTTGCCAATTTCATTTTTGTGATTGGCAATTCCCGTTTTCCCTAGTCTAGACTAAAATCTTCAATCAATGATACCCATTCTAGTCCTAGACTGGCTGATTTCTATATCCCATCCCAGACTGAAATGCTTGAAACTATACTCTTCATAGCCTGCGATGCGCAGACATATTTCCGGTCGTCGCTTCTCTCCCTCCGAAAATAATTACTTTTCGGAGGGAGGGAAGCGACGACTGGAAATACATCTGTGCTTCGCAGGCTTTACCCTTCACAGCAGCGCATATATATATAACCTATATACGGAATTAACCCAACCCCTGGAAAGCCATGTATCATTTTGTAGGAATGCCAATTAGGAATCTTAAAATGGCATTATGATATGTTATATTGAAGGTAGTGAGAGACAAAGTGAAGAAGTTTGCACAGCTGGCAGCCTCTGGTTTACGAGCAGAGTAAGTGTTGCTTTTTGTTTGTGTTTCTTAGTTTCTTAAACAAGTGCCTGGAAAACATTAAACAAACAAGCAAGTGACTGTTTTAAGTATTGCCTTTCCACCTTTCCTATATTTACTTTGAAACAAAGGTTGAAATTGAGAAGTTAGTCTTTGCGCTTTCTTATGAAGTTATAACCATTTTCTCTTTTCTTTAAATCACTTATAAGCCCCTAATAAAGACCTTTTTTTAGACTTGGAAAATTATTGACTTACTATGTTTAATTTTTTCTCTCACTAGTGGTAAACCATGTCCACCTTTCAAGTTGGTCATTTTAGATGAGGCAGATTCCATGACACCTAGCGCACAGGTTTGATATCAGTGTTAATTTGGTTTGTTGTCAAGTTTTATCTAAAAAACATTAACTAGAAACAGGAGAATATTCTGAAAGAAGCTCCACGTCCGAATAAAAAAATGAAAGATTGTTAGCTGGAGAAATCTGCGTATTAAATGGAGAATTCTCCAATCTCCAATGCCTGATGAACACCCTGAATAATAGGTAAATGTTGTATTCACACCTTAAAGTAGACACTTATTAAGTCAAGGACTGGTTACTTCCATATTTGTTTACAAGAATTTATATTTGATTGTTGTATCAGGCAGCCTTGAGAAGAACTATGGAGAAACAGACAAAGTCAACAAGATTTTGCCTCATTTGTAACTATGTTAGTAGGTATGTGCACAGGCTTTTAATTTGTTGATTTATTACAGACAGTGGAACCTTATGCCATTTCTGTCTAAAAAAAAACAAATGTAAATATTGTAATTTGTTTGTCTACGAAGCACTTAAGAGTTCTTAAACACTTGTTTAAACGTGTCCCGAGGCATTTCTGATTGCATTGGAATTTTGAAGTGAAGAAAGGGAAAAACCCAAGTACCTGACGAAGGGTTCATGCAAGCAATGAGATTGCAAACGAAGCTCTATGGCTGGAAAGCCTTTCCATTTGATTGGGAATGTTCTTGGAATTTCCAACCAGAAATTTTGCGTAAATGGAAAGTGCCCTTGGTGTCAAGTTTGAGAATTGCCACAGAAGGCATCTAGCAGGCATCTGGTCCAAAATGGGAGTACACTGACAAAACTGGAGTTGTTGACCATCTCATCAGACAAACTGAACATGTTGTGGCCCAGTTTTACCCTTGGTTCAAACATGTATTACTTGTTTTTTTCTTGACACTTGTCATCCATTACCATGACCCAAAACAAGTCAAGCTCAAATTCTCATCCTATAATTCCATTTTTTTTTCTTTTTCACAGAATTATTGAACCCTTGACTTCCCGTTGTTCCAAGTTTCGTTTTAAGCCTCTGTCTACAGAAACACTTGAGAAAAGGCTAAACATGATCTGTAAAGAAGAAAATGTGAATTGTGATAACAAGGTATGGATAGATGGTCTGTTCTGAAAAAGGTTGAAAATAAGTACGGGGGGTTTCAACAACTCCGCCGCTCAAATTAGAAGGTTACATTTTGATTTAAGTTCACGTAGTTTTATTTTATTTTTTATACAGGCAATTCATGAACTAATAAAAATTTCAGAAGGAGACATGCGAAAGGTGTGTAAGACTAGAGATAATAGTTTAGTAATATTATTGATGTTGAAGCCTTCATTTTCTTGAGAAATACAAAAATAACTTATTGCAACAAATGACCTACAGCCTTGTCCCTGGGACCAGTATGATATTATTCATGTCCCTGCTTTGTTCAAAAGACAAATGCACACTTGTCTTGGAATTAAAATTTTCCAAGGGGATTTTTGAGGGGCCTATTTTTTATATATAATGGGGAAAATTTGCATTTCAGTTTTGGCTTTGGAGAGAACTTTGTGTTAGCACTTTTTTTTTATTGTCAGATCATTGTTTATGTTGTAGATCATACCCTAGTTGAAGAAAAGGGGGGAGAGCTTATTTTGCAGAACTGATTCTTCCTCAACCTCAGCCATTTTCTAATCCTGTTGATTGGATGTACCAGCCTCTACACTTTTGTTCCTGGCTTCCTATCGTTACACTTCTTTTGTTATTATCATGATTTTGTATTTTTTTGAAGGCCATAACATACTTACAGAGTGCTTACAGACTGAAAGGAGAGGACATGATTGAGGCTCATGACATCACTGAAATAGCTGGGGTATGATACTACAGTTGTCGATATTATTGAGACCCTCTCTGGGTTTGTGATAGGTCGTTATTTTGTTCTCGGCTTCTCGGGTGGGGGGGGGTGGGTGGGTATGTGTGTCCCTAATCTGAATTTCAAATTTGGTTGTTTCACGTTTTGAGAATTAGGCCATGTCCTTGTCAGTATTTAACCCATCTTTATGTTGTTTGTTGCCATTTCATCTATTCTTTTGTCACAGTTTTAAGGCCATTTTCACCCTAACAGGGCCTCATTATTACATTATTTTAGAACAATGCAACCTAGAGTTCAGCTATTTCTTAACCTGCTCGTGGGCATGCAAGGAAAGTTAATGGGTAGAGGTTTTCAGCTGAGGCCTTCACAGTCTGACCCTGCTTAAGATTACAAGCCTTATTTTACAACCCTGATTCATTTTGATTTGAATACAGAATTGATTAATTTTTCAAACTAAAACATGGAATTAGATTTTGTGAGCAAAACTGTTGGTACCATGAATGTAGACCTCTAGTCGCCAACCTTTACACTCTTTTGAAGGCTACTAGTCTAGAAAGACACCTTATTCAAGATGCTAAATGATGAAATTGTATACCCTGAAAAGACCCTGAAAACCATTCCCTGTTCCCCCATCCCCTTGGCTCCTAACCAGGTTCATTTCCAACATAATCACTAGCCAGAGTTGTTTAACAGTAGAAGGACTTCAAATCTCTGATGCCATTGTCTGAAGCTTCTTGCTGACACTTTTGCCCAATGAACTTTCAGGTTGTTCCTGATGATATGGCTGACAAACTTTTTGCAGCCTGTGGTTCTGATTCTTTCGAAAAGCTGGACTCTACTGTGAAAGTGAGTATTATTATGATTGTTGTGCTGTATCATGCCTGTCTGCTTTTGTGTTTGCAAAGAAGCAAGAAAGATGGGAGTAGTCCAGGAATGTTCATTAGTAGGGCTCAAACTTGTACTTGCTGTTAAAACTGTCAACAACCTTTGGCATGCGTCGTGCATTACGTTAAGCACATGTTTTCAACTGGAGAGCTTGTGTTGACCTGTATTCTTGGACAGTTGGAAGAGTGTTAAAAACAAAGTGTTATGGGCCTTAAAAGTATCTTTACAGATAATTGTTGCACTTCCTCAATGTTTTCCTTATTAAAAAGGTCCTTAAGTGTGAAACTTGATTGGTAACAATAATTGTGTCAGTTTTGAGGAAGTTGTTAGAAATTACTCAGCCTGCAAAGCAGGCATATTTTGCAGTGCCAACGACGATACTAATGATCTTGCACCATCTTGGACATTGAAACTGACGGAGAGTTGGGGCGCGTGTAAAGCCTTAAGATGGCTGCCTGGGCTGCAGGCTAGTAATTACTATGAGAATTAGTATTTTCGTCCAGATTGGGTGTGTTGTGGCAAACCCTGGACCCTCACCATAGTTCTGCCACTGAATGCCATGGACCAATCCTCTAACTACTATGCATTATGCCAGTGGTTCAGCGTGAGCAAGATGATTAAATGTTATAGCAATTTGGGAACAAACCGTTTTCTTGGCTCAATTACTAAGATATGTTCTCTTGAAATCATATCAACAGGAAATCATTGCCGAAGGCCACGCTGCAGCTCAAATAATAAATCAGGTATAGCATCGCCTAGAATAAATTATCATTTTAACTGTGTATATTTCATTGAATAAGAAAATTAAAAACGTGGTTATTAAATTATCCCTTTTCGCATGCGGCTGACCCAGAGTTTTTTCTCTGCCCAAATAATACCTCTTGTTACTACAAATGTATATTTATGAGTAAGACACAGATTTGATGGAACCTAAACCAATATATATATGCGCTTACTTTAGGCATGCTACTAATGAACAGTTATATTCAGATTTTCCAGCAACAACAATTGTGGGTTCAGTGTCCCCTTTCAAATTTATTGAGTTTTTTATGATAATTGTCTTGAGAATTTCTTATTTCCTCCATTTCTAAACAGATAATTATCTTAGTGTTTGTTTGTTTGTTTTTGTTTTTAGGTTCATGACAGAATTGTTGAAATGAGCGAATTGAATGACCATCAAAAATCTGCGATATTGGAGAAATTAGCGGTAAGATATTGACTTATACTTTCCTTAAATCTCTTCTCTGCACAAGAAGCAAATACAACTGAACATTAATCCTTTAAGCCCCAATATCCAAATACAAATTCTTTAGACTGATCTCCATACTTTTCCTTAAAGAATTCCTTAAGAGAATTTGTTTGTAGATCAAAGCATCATCAATGGTGATTTTTTTTTCCATAATCACCATTTTTGCCAAATTCGCCATTTTCGCCAAATTCACCATATTCGTCAAAATCGCCTTTTTCTAAGGGGCCCCTTTTGCCACTTCATTTGAATTTTTCCCCAATTTTTTGGAAAACTTGGCCATATTTGTCGAAATCGCCATTTGCCATGGGGCCCCTTTGCCATCTCTTTTGATTTTTTGCTATGAGTTTAAAATTTGCTAAAACTTTGGCAACCTTTTTTTCTAGATTCGACAGTTTCTTCAAAATTTCCCCTTTTGCCACCGCATTTGAATATTCACCAAAGTTTCACGAATTTTCGCCAAATGTGCCATTTTCGCACACAGCGTGCAGTTCTGGACATATCCTTAAGCCAGGCAAACACAGACCATAATCATGCTGTTTGGCAACTGTCGCTTCAACAATCAACTTGCAGGTTGATGTCTCTCTGTTCTTTTTGTTTTTTTGTTTTTTTTTTAGATTGTCGACAAATGTCTGTGCGACGGTGCGGATGAGTACTTGCAAGTGCTTAGCCTGTGCTCAGTTATGATGCAACAATTCTGTCATGCCGGACAAACATGAACAGTTTGGTATCAAGAGACTGAATACAGAGCAAGACAGCGTCACGCGAACAATGATAAATAAAAATTACTTTTTAGGTCTTATTTGCATAGCGTATTCTTGGTAATAAACAGAACATACACCAACAGCTCCGATTTTATGATTTTGCCTACGCTACCCAGAGATGTTTTCGACATGTCCCAGGGGCACCCAACGACGGTTTCCTCTCAAATACGTTAAAAACACTTTTTAGGCTATCCAGGGTACTTTTAGATGTCTAGAAATGCATTCTAAGCGGCGCTAAAGAATTTGTATCTATTCGGTCATCTTAGGCGAACTTGAGTCTTTTCGAAATTAAAAGGGCCTAAGTATTATTTTCCCGAAAATTTTAGAGGCAATTTAACGTATTACGAAAGTGATAATCTTTCTTATTTCTCTCTCCATCCTATTTTTGAATTCGAAAATTTTAGGTTTCCTTTTTTGTACGAAAATTAGCCTAACCTAGGGAGTGAAAGGTGAAAAATTAAACTTCAGAAAAACCTAGGGAATTTATTAGATAAGCTTCGGAAATTGTGCATTAATGGAACGGCCATCTAGAAATTTTTAGCCGTCCTCAAGTAATAAAAAATTCTAGGTAATATCTGCTTCTCCGAACAGATATTTACAGAAAACAGTCGTTGGGTGCCCCTGATGTACCTAACAGAAGTTGGAAGATTAGTAATTGACAGAAACTGTTTCTGTTGTGCGGTCGAGGATGCAACGTCCTATGGGGATAAGCAGTTGAAGTACTGTTTACCTAGAAATACACACACACACCCAAGGGTAGATACAGGGCATACAGGGTCCTGTAGGTCACCAAGGACCTCAAATGCCCGTTTAAGACAAAACTGCAATCAACAAATCAGTGCACGCCTAAAGGGGCTGTGTTGGCCCGCAAAGCAGGCATATTTTGCTGTGCGATCGATATGGACTTTGGACTGACCAAGAGTTGAGGCGAGTCAAAAATTGATTCCAAGGGAGAGGTTGACGCGTCAAAATAGGGGAGGGGGAAAGGAGGAAAGGAGTTTTTTTTCCTTTTTCTTCCCGCCCTCCCCCCCTTGCCTGCACCTCCTTCATGTACCTTTGGGTCGCGTTTTTGAAAAAAAAAAACGCCTGCTCTGCAGGCTAGGACTTTGTCACTGTCATGGCAGTCTGGTTCATTTTTTTTCAAATTGCCAATTGTGCGTCCTTCTTCGCTATGGAACGTAACGATAGTGAAGAAACTGGTAAATAACAAGATCACAGCTTCGAATTCTTGTAAAAAAAAGAAAGTCTCCCAAGTATTATATCAAAATGTTACAAACAACAAAAATAAACTTTGAAAAAACTGTTAGGCTAACAAGTTTTCAAAAACCACTTGCAATCCATTTCAATCTTCTTTGAGTTTTTCCATCCGTTCCTCTTATATTTACTGTATTATTTATGCCTTCCTTTCATGTTTTGAGCTGTTATTTTTATGTTTCACTCAGTTTGGGGGCGGTTAGCCCCATTTAAATTTTGTTTAATTTCATTACACACCTCTTTAATTATAAAACCCGCTATCACCAAAAGAAAAACAACAAACAAACAAAGCGTGTAAAGAAATTGAGGGCGACACTGCCGGATTCGAAAACCCCCAAAAACGTCCACTTAGTAGACAAAAAAGAACGTATACTCAACCTGGTAAAACAGCTTCGGTGCCAAAAAAGAAAACTGTGGTTTCCTCGCCACTCTTTCCTTTTTCATACTATGTTTACATCGTGTGCTGTTACTTCTTTTGCGTTGCAGATAAATAAATTAAACAGCTTCTAATGGTTAGGTATGAATTGTTAAGGCCTTCCGCTGAACAGAGAAGCACCAACAGAACAGCCCTACGAGCAAGCTCTCCCGGGCCGGGCGCTCGCAGGCGACCCCATGCCCATTAAACGGCTACGTAGACCTTTTTCGGAAAATCACCCGATATTGGCTGTGGGGTAAACTTGAACAAAATTACATACAGTAATTATATGCCAAACCGTCATTCATTTTAAAATTTACACTTTCCGATCCCGTCCGTGCAAATGTGACAAAACTAGGTCAAGAATTCGGTGCGATCAGCAAGCAATTCAACTTTCTTTGCAAAGGACAAAGACAGCTTGTTCGCGAATCCTCTGAAGTCGATTTAAGAGCGTATTACAAACGTTCTTATAAATTATATGTTCTTTCCTCGATTAAAGAAATAAAAATCCGACAAATTTAAGTGGGAGACTGCAAAGCGTTATTAAAAATCGAGGAAAATCCTATTGGTAGACTCACTGTTATTTTGTGTTGCATTTGCCCCCAACTAACAGGGTATCACCGAGCACCCACGAAAAGGTCTATTATCTGATGTCATTTGAAATTCTGGCCAAATTAGACGACTAAACATTTTCTCTACTTAGTTTTCATTTACGCGCTAATAGAAAATTCAAGCTGAACTTGTGGTTTTTGTCACAGTTTGAAGCTAATAACTGCGACGGGAAGCCTGTGACTGTTTTGCTTGTAGCAATTCAGGTGGTAAGGTAATTGGACTTTTTGGGTTAGCACCTTATTTTTTCCCTTACTACTTAAAAAAAAAAGGTAAATGAAACTTTGGCCGAACGTTTTTTCACGATCCTCTTTCGACTTTATAGTCCAATAATTTTTATCTTGTGGGAGCTTGATACAGCTAAAGATAAGAATAAGTCGAAAAACTGCAAATATTTTGTAGTTTTTCATTTGCAGCATCATAAATTTTAAATACATCTATATTTGTTAGGAGTATTGCCATGGAAGTCGAGAATGTCAGATGTTTTCAAACCAAGAAACACTTTTTGTTTGTGAAAGTGATTCGTTAGAATGACAAGACTTAATATTCCAGTTAATATTGTATCTTTTGTGAGATTCATAGCACCGTATGAGGCTGAATGGTTTCTCTTGGATTTTCATTAAAACGATTTCTGAATTAGTTCAGGCGGGTGGTCCCATTTTGCTCCAAGCCAAAGGGTTCATTAGGAGACAACCGACAACGTGAAATTCGGACGTTGCTTGCGTATGGCGAAGAGTCGGTTTCTCAAAATCAGTGAAGTTGTTTTTATCTCAGTAGGAAAGACTCAATGTTCGTAAGGACTGAAAAATTGGAAGATATTTCCATGTTCAATTTGCTTTTGTTGCTAAATTTATTCAACCTGGTATTTTTGGCAAAAGCGGTTAACGTGACAAGGTAAGTTACGCTTTCCAGCGTTGAAAGTAATGTAGGTTAGCTAATTCCACACGTAACGGTGTGAAGTTTGTCGGAACCACTAGACCCATAGCCGAAACAGCTTTTGCGGCTGTTAGCGGCTGTTCACTATGAAGACTTTTTACATGTGGACAGACGCCGTGACGCGTAAATCATGCGATTAATTAAGCTTTTCCGAAGTCGTATGGACAGAAATATTAAATATACATTTTTTGCACTGTCTCCTTCCGCATTTTCCATATCCGCGGTGTTTACCAGCAGAGTATAAAGCACCTCTTTATAACAAAGCCACCGGAGCAAGGAATTATAATCA